GAGGTATAGAGATATGGAGGTAGATATATTTATAGATGGATATAGATAAAGATATCCACACATACAGCAACAGATATAACTGTGTATGTGTGGTTGTGTGTGACCATGTGTCATTTATTTCCTACAGTGTCCACTGAGAGAGCCTAAAGGTCTGACACTCCAGCAGTAGTGAGCCAACCAAGGACCCAGATCTTGGTTTTTAAATGCCATCCTCCACTGAGAGGAACTAAGCCTCTTTGGAGAGTGGGCTGATTTCAGAGCTGGGGCAGGGAAGGCACAGAATAAGCATGGAGCATCTTGATGTGCCAGAAGGTAAGCAGTTGCTAAAGAACAATGAGGCCATGTCAGAGGGACCTAAGATCCAGCTTGAGGAGATACTCACTTGCAAAATCTTGGACACCTTAGGTATCAAAATAAATAATGAAAGTAATGGAATACAACCCATAGAATAGACTAGAAAACCATGAGCCTAGACTAAGATAAGTAAATAAGTGCAGGGAAGGGAAAGATGTTCTTTATAGAAGAATGCCAACTAATAAATGCCAAAGAAAAGGTGCAAATGGAAAATTGCCATTTGGCAGCCATCACAGTGGTGATTGATTTAGGCAGGTGTTATCAATGCCCACCCAGACTGACTGAGTGAAGGTTCAATATGGACAAAATATAGGTGTAACCTCAGAGCATATTCTACAAAATACTTATGACAAATGGAAACGTCGTGACTTTGTAATGGAGAATCCCAGTATCCACTAATCCAGATGCTAAAGGTTAACATCATAATGATGGTTCTGTTAAACTGATACCACGTGACTTTTAATGCCATGCATTCTCAGGGACAGAGGATTGTTTCTTTGATGTTCTTGATAAGAATGTATGGCTTGGATCAGGTATGAAGAAACAGCTGATGTACCTAAGTTGAGCAACAGCTTACAGAATGAAAGGTATATATATTTAAAGCCATCAAGGTCATGAAACTTGGGAAAAAACTGAAAAATAGTAGCAGATCAAAGGAGAATAGTAAGACATGTCAACTAAATGTAACATGTGATTCTATGTTGGATTCTGGACCAGAAGGATTCACAGGAAAGTTGGTAAAATTTGAATAGATTGTATGGATTTGTGGATGGTGTTCCCTCAATGTTGTCTTATGCTTATGTAGGAGATAATTCTGGTTTGGGGGAAATACGAACACGGAAGCACTTAAGGGTGATGGAGCAGTATGTTTGTACCTGCTCTTAAATGGTTTAGAAAAAAGAATATTATTCATGAGTATCTATCTATCTATATCTAGAGATATATCAAATATAAAATAATAAAACTGAAAGAGACAGATATTGAATTTCTTTGTACCATTTCCCCCTATTTTTTTAAGTTTGAAATTATAATTTGTTCATGGATTTCATTGGTCATTTAGTCTAATCTCCTTCTTTTACAGAAAAGAAAGCATTAAAGGACAAAGCATTAAAGGACTCCTCCATAAAGTTATGCACAAACAGCAACATAGGAAGATGTGAGTTTTAGTTCCCAGGCAACTCAATGAGTGTCAAGAGTGCGATTTTCCGATTCAAAGCACACACAAAAGCGTGGCTACACTGATAGCAGCATGTTGAACTGAGGTGCTTTGCTGGGAGGACCAGGCTGAAGCAGTGCGTTCATATTATAAGGAGGTCAGAGGCAATTTGGAGGGTAAGAGATGAGAAAAGATTGTGAAAGCAGATCATGTGAGGAGAGACCAAAGGGACAGGGAAGGTTTAGCCTCAACAAAAGGAGTCACATGGGGCACTGGTCATTTGTTTTAAACAATTTGGAATGCTTTCTTGTGAAACAGGGTTTACATTTGGAAGGCCACCATGGATAGAAACAGAAGGGTAGTGAGACACATTTTACCTTCAACTATGGAAAATGAAATTCCATAGTTGACATAGTCAACTATGAAATAGAAGACTATTCAGGGGTGAGGAGACTTTCCTTTCTTTTTCTTTTTTTGGTAGACACTGGGGGGCAGAGACAGGGTGAGAGCTCACTCGAGGGCTGGTCTCGAATTCATAGGCTCAAATGATCCACCCCTTTTCATGGAGTTTATAGTAATGCCAAGGAACAGAGGGGCTGCAGACTATAACTGGATCAAGACCATATGAAGCAGGAGAATTGCTGGAACCTGGGAGGCGGAGGTTGGAGTGAGCCAAGACTGCGCCATTGCACTCCAGGCTGTGCAACAGAGCAAGACTCTGCCTCAAAAAAAAAAAAACAAAAAACAAAAAGACAATATCAATATATAGTATGGTGGATTGTGATACATGCTATAGAGAAAAGCCAAGCAGGTGAAAAGCCAACCTCGGCCTCTCAAAGTGCTATGAGCCATGGCACCTGGCCTGAAGTAATGAGATTCTTAGGAATGTGTAGGCAGGAGGGGCATTTGGTGGAAATAGTCTAGTGGCAACAAGCGTTGGAAGAAGTAGGTCACCTTTAAGCCCCTTTAAACACAGTTTATAATAGTAGCTACTATTTATTGAATGCTTACTATACGTAGAGCACTGCAGATACATTATCTCCGTCAGTCCTTACCACAGGTCAGTCAGGTAGACACCCTTATCTTCTTTCTACCTATAAAGAAAATGTTTACATAGAGTGTCCCACATGCAAATCCAGCAAAACACACACAGAGTTGTTGGGGAAGCTGTTCTAGGTCTCAGCTTCTACACTGACTGTCTTCCCATTCTCTTTTGTCTCGTCCTTCAGAATCTTCAGCCACAGGGGCTCCAGTGTCCACTGATTTCTCCCACTTTCAACAGACTCTCCCATTTTCTCTTCCAATCCTTTCTTATTCCTCCCTTTTTCCTACATTATACTTTCTCATTAGTGCGAGTCTTCAAGCTCCATCTCAAATATGAAGAAACATTGTTTTCCTAAGCAAGAACTTTTCACCACTTCTGTGCTTGGCACAGCACTCCCAGAAAGAAATCCATCTTGTCAAGTTGTGCCTCATCTGGCTGTCAACATAACAGACAAGTATCCAGCTTAATAGTCACCATTACCCCCATTACCCACTCTTCTGCTCCTATTTTTATCAGCTATTCCTCCCTTTATTGAGTCAAGCTGGACTTAAACTTGAGCAAGTCACACCTTCACTCTACTCATTGTTTTACCCAATTCAGTTCAAAATGCAATTCATAAGCAAACATTTAATCTGGAGTACTGAAATATCTTACTGTGAATGCTTTGCCACTGGACTTCTGTTGTCAGGAGCTTCAAGAGGAAAGGTGAGGACTAGCTTGCCTCTTCTGAGAGTGGCCAGAGTAAATAATCTTGGCTGCAGGGAAAAAAGTTTGCTTTTAATTTCCAAAGTGGACCCAAGATGATAGGGTCTCATGAAACAAAATCTTTGCTTTGATGCAAGGAACCAGTGCTATTTAGCAGTCTTCCAAGTTACGTAGCATCAGTTGACAGGGTTTGGCTTCTTGACTGGCCAACTGTTTCCAGTACACCCTTGTAGGGATCCTCCTCTGACTTCCTGTAGAAAGGCTCTTTCCTCTGCCACAGGCTGCTGAGGATTCCACAAGACACAGATAGATGTGAGCTGCATGTACACACTCCAATCTCATTTAACAGTGCAACACCTGCACTCTCAAAACATAGACATTTCCCCAATGGGCTATCAAATGTGCTATTTGGGCAGTTAATTTTGCAATGTTATTAAACTAATAGGCACTTGGTGGTGTACCTCTTTCACATAGATACACCCAAGAGTCAGAGTTTCTGGTTGGATGGCTTTCCAGACTTGTGATTGTCATATTTTTATAGCTTTTCCTCCTACAGAAGGCTTTACCAAATCAGTTTTCCAGAAAGCACGCCTTCAGGAACTAGTAGGAGGCAGGTGAGTGAAGAGTGGCCTGAGTGCCACTGATTGCGCAGTGAATTGTCCGGGTCTTTGGGGTAAAGATGGAAAGGAAAAGAAAGATAATGTTGTTCCCTTTGTTTACTTAAAAAGACCAGGAGTTGTACAAGCACAAGTTTCGTTTGTCTGTGAACGGGCATACAGTCTCATGCCTGGACTCACAGCCCACAGAATCAAGCAAACATGTATGTGTTTGATTCTACACGCTCAGCCTTCAGGGCTGGAAACCTCGTGAGCACCAGTGGGGATGGCTTTGGGGAGCTGGAACCCCAGGGTCGTCTGCTGCAGGGATGCAGGCTGGGTGAGAAAAGGGGGCAAGCTGGGTCTGTCTACACACTGCTCTTCATATTTGGCACTTCATGTGAAGGTGGATGATGCTTAAATGAAACAGCCTCCAAGCCACTTTCTGGCCTGCATCCCTAGACTGCTGCTGTGAAGTTAACTCTTTTCAGAGATTGCAAAAATTTAATATCAGCAAAAGAGACCAAGTAACCAGGTCCCCTTAAGGCACACGAAGGGACATTGATCATAACCTCTCCCTTTCCTCCAGTACCTACCTACACAAAATTGCGTGTGTGTGTGTGTGTGTGTGTGTGTGTGTGTGTGTGTGTAATTCCTTCTCTGCTTGTAGGGCCCGCTGGCTATAAAGCCCAGGAAGGCCTGCAAGGAGACCCACACTCTGCGAGCCCGCGGCTCGGAGGCGGGCTCAGGGCGGGGCCGCGCGCGGGGACCGCCCAGGCGCCGGACGCAGCCAACGAGCGGACGGGGAGGGCGGGCCTGCAAGGGCTAAGCGGCGCGGGCTGTCACAGGCGCCCGACGCGCGCTGCAGGTGGCAACTTGGAGGTGCAGCCACCGCCGCTGCCGGAGGAGCCCGGGTTTGGCGGCCTCTTCCAGTCTCCGGGAGCTCTTTCCCGCCGCCGATACGGAGATTGGACCTCGGAGAATTCGAAGTAAAGAGCCGCTGCGGAGGGAGCTGTGGGCAGCCCTACCTCTCTCTGCCCTTGCGCTACTTTTTTTCTCCAAGGAAGGTTGTGCCTGCGGGCTACGAATAAGCTCCGGGAGGGGCCTCGAAGGAAGGCTTCGGCGACCCAGGTGAGCGCCTTTCCCTTCCCGTGCCCCATCCTTTTTGGCAGCCGGCAGTAGGCGAGGAGCGCCGCCCAGCCCCGTGGGCAGGGGCGCGGGTGCGGGCGCCTGCCCTTGGCTTGAGGTCGACGGGGGAAAGAGCGAGGAAGGGGCGAGGCTGACTCGACTGGGGGCTGCCTGGCCGGGTCCGCCCGGAATAGGCAGGGACTATCCGACGGGCACTCGGAGACTAGGGACCAGCAGAGAGGTGCTTTAAGAGGGGCAGAGAGCTTGCGCCCCACTTAAGCTGGCGGGGATCGGCCGCCTGCGCGCTGTGAGGGAGCCGCCGCGGGAGCCGGACGCGGCCCCTCTGCGAACCCCATAGCTAGTGCGCGGGGCCCGGCGAGCGCACCAATCTTCGGTCCCTCGGAGCCAGAGGCCCTGGAGGACGTCATCCCTCTCCGTTCGGGCAACTCCTCCGCCCCTCTTGCCTCCACCCCTCCGCGCCCGCCGTTTAGCCTATTCAGAGACTCCGTGCCTTTGCCAACGCGCGCAGCGGTTGCTGCTGTCACTCCCCTCCCCGCCCTCGCCGGAGTTGGAGCGCCCTGGGGTCTGGCCTCCTGGCCCCGGCCACCTAGTTGTGCGCTGGAGGCGAGTGGCGCTGGCCAGTTCTTTGCGAGGAGGGCAGGAGTGAGCGCGGGCTCTCTCTACAGTGCTCCCTCCGAATCCGTCCCCGCCCCGGTGCAACTCAAACCGCTAGCCCAGAGAGCGGACTCTCAGAAGCCAGACCTTGGTCGCCCTGGCAAAACTGGGGGTCTTTCTGGGAAGGTGCGAGCCTCGTGGATGAGGCCAGAACCTCCGCCTCCATCCCAGCCTTTCAGTGCCTGCTTTCCTGCTTTCAAGTGCACAGTGGCTCTGACCTCCGCATTCCGGCTCGCGGCGTGGGGGGCGCTAGCGGCTGTGTGTGTGTGTGTGTGTGTGTGTAAGGATGAGCGAGTGCGATCCTCCGGGAGGCAGAAGCGCAGGAGCCCGTTCCCCCAGCCCTGCGGAGTCGCAGGGCCACCCCTCTCCGCCAGCGGCTCGCCGCTGCACCCCAGCAACTCCACGCTGCCGGCTCCTCTCCTTCCGCTCCAGCTCGCAGTCCTCCCCACCGAGGCGGCATCCCAGGATTAAAATCATCTGGCCACAGGGTGCGGGTGTGGGATCGAGGCGCTCCCGAGGGGAATGAGGCTGTTTTTCAAAATCCGGGGAGTGTCCCTCGCCGGGCATTGCATCTTTCCGCGACTCCTCTGTACGGACCTGCGGTGGAGGCTTGGTGGAGGTGGGCCCGCGCTCCGGGGAGTGCGTCAGGTCACCGAGAAGCCGACGCTGGGGGCCGCTGAGCCTCAGGAACTCCCTTTGGCTTGTCCTGCTCAGAAGCCAGGGAGCTCCGGACCGGCGGCTAGAGCGGGGCGCGCTGCGCGGGAGGTGGTGTGGCCGGGCGGGTGCTGCGGGAGGGCGCCCCGGGCTCGTCGGGGGCTTCCAGCCGGGGCCGTAGGGCGCCCAGGGAACTGCGGCGGTCTTGGGCACCCGAGGGGCGCTGGAAGTTGAGCCGGGGTCCGCAGGGCTCGGTGACCGCCCTGGCGCCGCCGCTGCGTATTCTGGAGCGGCAGCCGCGAGGCGCATTCGGCAGCCCCCTCGGCCACTCGGCAGCGGCTTTCGCTTTCCTTCTGCAGAAGTGAAGCCTCCGCCTGGGCTCGCGCTGGCTGGCGACCTTTGCGCCAGAAAAGCCTGAGGTGCTACAGGCGAAATCCTCCCGAGAGCAAGGGGCGGCGTTCACGAGGCATGGAAAGGGAAGACGCCGGGCTCCGGCGGGTAGCGCAGTCGCGGGAGGGCGGCGCTGAGCGCCAAGAATCCCCGAGGCGAGTCGAGGCCAGGCGGACCCAACCCAGCCGGGAGGTGCTGCCCTCGCCCTTGGCGCTCTCTCACTGGGACCTGGTGTCAGAACAACCCCCGCCACCGCCAGTCTGAAACTGTTGTGTAATTCCCTCTGAAGTGCATTGGATTAAGACTGGGCCAGGAGAGGGCTGGAAGCCACTGAATGAGTGAAAGTAGAAACAATGGTAAATCCCAAATCTAACTGTGATTTAAATCTAAATTCCAACCGATTAGAAACAGATTCTAACCCCGTAGAGCAGGGTCTTTGTAGGAGCTCCTATATTGCATTTAAATAATGGCAGTTACTGGTGGGCCCGGCAAGACTTGCCCCTCCCAGGCTGGAATAGTGCTGCTTTGGGGGGTGGGGGCGGGGTGGGGTCGAGTGTGCCCATATCTTTACACATAATCTAGAGCAAGGAAAGAGGCAAGTTTAGATCGGTTCTGAGATGACCTTGAGAGTCTCCGTCTTCACTTTCCCTTACTGGCCATAGGCAATTGGATCAATTACAGTTCAGACTTAGGGACACCAAAGGATCAAAGAGCCTCTCCTGTAACATTAGTTAATGGTCTTCTTAGAATGTGTAGTAACCTTAGGAAAACATTCGCAGTACTGAGGAGCAGAGGTATAAAACCAAAAGTTTGCAGCTAGGCTGTAACCTCTCAATCCCAATCACGGAAATACAGCTCTTAGTGGAATGTAAGTTATTGAGGGCAGGGTTCTTTCTCATTCTTTTATCCCCGGAATCTGACATTTAGTAGGTGTTCAACAAAAGTGTGGATAGACCAGGGCGTCTAATTAAAGACATTGGCCTGAAAAGATATTTAATAATTTCTAGGTCAATTATTATTAAAGTCAGAATATTAAACTAATTATACAGCCATGTCGAGGACTAGTGTGCGTGGTTTAGTTATATTTTTAAACTCTTTGGGATTGGTGAAATCACTTCAAATAAGAAGGCACTGGAAATTTAGAAATTACATAGTGGTAGAGTTGAATGGTTAAAGTTCCTTTATAACAGTCTCTGGTTAAATACCTATAGAAACTGGGATCTCCCTACTTTCAGAAGTGTTTGATAGGGAAATTTATTATTTAAATGCTAGGAACAGAGGGATGAGCATGCCATGGTTCACGTCTGCCCACATGAAGCTCACATTCTAGTTGGTGGGCCAAAAAGGAAGGAAGCATTATGACTTCAGTGCTGTTGTGTAGATACATGAGAAAGTTAAGGGACCTCAGCAAAGTGGCCCCACACCTCTAAGAGCAACAGCAAGGGAACGCCAAAAAGGATGGGTCTTGTGATCTGGATTTGAAGGGAAGTTCTCCTGGAGCACTGCATAAACAGACTAATGAGAAGTCCACAGAAGGTCGGCCTGCATAGCTCTCCCTTCCTTCTAATTCCACCTTCTGAGCTTTAACACCCCGCCTTCTCCCTCTTCTACACACCCACCATTCTTCTATTTGAAAACAGTTTCTATGTCTCTCTGTTTCTTCTTTTCTCCAGGCCAAAGGGCCACAGATTCTTCATGCTACCTCCAATCCCAAACTACCCATTCTCACAATACTCTGAATGTTGGCTTGCTTTCCTCTTGGGCAGTTAGGGAGGGAGAAGCAAAAACTCAACCAGGGCATGATTTTTGAAGAATTTTAAGTGAGGGCAGGTTGGTTGTGAATGGTTTATTAAAAAGATCCAGGGAGTGGGATGAGTCACAGTCCACTCTGGGCAACTACTTTCTTATCTGTAAGGAGAATAATAATTTTCACCTACGACACTATGAGAATTAATTTGTGACTTCAGAATTATCTGAGTTACTTGGAAGTAAAGTGTGAGACCTAGCACATGGGAACATAGCATTTTCCAATTCCGAGCTGGTTAACCAAGAATAGCAAGAAACACAATTAATAAGAAAATATGGCTTTCAATGGAGAACTGCTAAAGAGGCTAGAGATTTTAAAAGGCATTGAACCCTGCTATTCACAATGAAGATAAAACATGTAGCTGTTAGAAAATGTTTATGATGGGTCATTTTGTCAGGGAATAGAGAAAGCTTGAATATAATACTCACAGTAGCCACCAAATCACTGAAGAGATGAAAATAATTTGTTTTGTTTTCGTGCTAGTTCAGTAGTATGTGAGGCTTTTATCTGGGAAGGTTTGGGGTCATGATGATGTAGGGCTGATTGATGTCTAGCATGCATTCTGAAGTGCTAAGTGTCTCCTAGCCCAAAGCTAATGCAAGGACCAATGTTCTAGTGGGATTGTGGAAAGAATTCCAGATGTGGAAGCTAAACGGACACTCTCTTGGAATCCTAAATAATGAGAGAGTGAGCAGCTAAGTTGAAAGTAGCAACGAGACAGGGGAATGGCACTGAATATAATTGGGGCCAACTGGGTGCAATTGCAGTCAAGCAGCATAAATGAAGATCAGAATGGAGAAAATACATTAATGGACAAAAAATGCTCAGTAGAACTTACATTGAGTTCTTGGAAATAAAAAGAGCGAGAAAGCTACCATTACTTTGTGTGGTGGGAAAACAAGGGTGAATGAGAACTTGGACACTTCCCTCCTGAGGTCAGTGCAATGTATAAGATCTCTTAGCCACCAAATCCTCATCAGTAAAATGGGGATAGGAATGCTTTATGGTGAGAAGTGAATAGCAGAAAATATAAAACACCTAGAACATGACTGGGCTTTTAGGTGAGCTGCTCTGGCAACAAGATACTGGTTTTCTAGAACCAGGAGTTTGGGTTGGCTGGATGCATTATTGCCACATCTTAATCTTAACTCTTAGCCTTCATTAGAAATCTAGGCTCACATTTGCAACCGGCAAGGGGATAGTTTACCCAGTTGTTTTCCAGTTATCTCAAACTAAATGTGTCTAAAAATTTCATTCATCAATTTCCTCCCTTACCCTAGGACCACCATGCCCTAAGTCATTCACGTGGGAGACCTGGTCTTCATTCTTTTACGCCGTTCTCTTCTCACATTCCTCTCTGACAGACACACACCCCAGAAATCTCAGGGTTCCCGTGGTAGTAACTCCCAGTGCCACTTCCTTTCTATCAGATCCCCACCTGTCCTACCTCTGGCTCTTGCCCCCTCCTGCGTGGACTGCTGATGTGATTATCCTAGCTCACTCTCATTCTGCCTTCCTAATTTCTGCTTCCAGTTCAGTTCTTTTACTGTGCTGCTTTGGTTGTATCACTTCCTGCTCCAAACCTCAAGCCACTTCTGTTTCCTAAAGCATGAGTGCAAACTCTTTTTGATTTGTACTCAACACCGTATGTTTGCTCTCCTGTATCTAAGTGTTCAGATCTCCCAAGGCCCCAACAGAAAACCCATGGCAACTCTCCCCAATTCCCATGTATGCCTTTACATTTGATTTCTCTGTCCTTTGCTCACCCCATTTCTTTCAAGTGAAATGCCCTTCCTCCCCTTTCTTCATCTTGAAATCCTGCACTCAAACACCACCTCCCTCATGATGTTTTTCTCAGTAATTCCCAGAAGATCTCTCTCTCTCATCTTTCCTTCCGTAGCTCTTTGTTCCTTCTTCTCTTGTGGCCCTCATCGTATATTTATTTTTGGTGTCTTTTATTGACTGAGAGCTATGACTTCATTCTATTCACCTTTGTATTTCCCAGTAAGTTTTGTCCGGAGTGGGGGCTCCACCACAACTTGTCCCTGAGAAGATGATTGTCTAGAGACATGTGAGAAGAGTTTGTGACAGAAGAAGGGAAGAATGTTGTTCCAATCCCATGTCAAGTCAGTATGAGGAAGAAGTAGCCAGGCCTTGATCAGGTCTTTGAAGACAAAGTGGAAAAACAGGCAATTATCTGGAAACTTCAAAAACCACTCTCTACCCACATTGGTCTGATTTCATGGATAATGTATGCCTTGGTAGCTGGAAGAATCTGTAAAATTAACATTCTTCATTATAGAGATGAGATTATAGTCATGTGAGCTAGACAGAGCTTTCAAAAGTAGAATAGAATGTGGAGAGCCTAGCTGATAGTGATTGGGCTGAAAGAAAAATAAGATATGCTGGGCAAGACGCCCATTAAGTGCTGAATGCATTCGTAAATACACGAGCGAGGCCAGACACTGTGGCTCACACCCATAATCCCAGCACTTTCAGAGGCTGAGATGAGATGATCCTTTGAGGCCAAAGACCAGCCTGGGCAACAAAAATTAGCTATGCATGGTGGCACATGGCTGTAGTCCTAGCTTCTTGAGAGGCTGAGGCAGGAGGATCACTTGAGCCCAGAAGCTGGAGGCTGTAGTGATCTACGATTGTGTGCCACTGCACTCCAGCCAGGGTGACAGAGCAAGACCCTTTCTTTAAAAAAAAAGAAAAATGTATTCATACTTTTAGAAGATAAAATTTCTTATGGTCTCATACTTTTT